AAATAATGTCTAATAATTTCCTTTATTTTGTCTTTACTTATTATGAATTCTGCTTTTGGATTTTTTATATTGTTGATTTGCTTTTCTTTTTTAAATCAAATTTGTTAATGCTTTATTTTATCTTTTCCCAAAAAGTTCTATTTATATTTAGTAACTTGATGCCTTTTAATTTTCAATTTGTTTATCTCTTTTATTGCCCAGATTTTCATTTTTGTTTTCATTTGGGCTTTTCTGATTTATTGCTTTTTTAGTTTTCTTAGCTGCATACTCTTGAATAACATTTGTACAATGTCTTCAATCAATGATGTGCTGGTAAAAACTAGCATTTACATAGTGCTCTAAGATTTGCAAAAAGCATTACAAACATCCTATTTTATGATTACAACAACCCTAGGAGGTAGGTGCTATCATTATCATCCTTATTTTACAAATGAAAAAACTGAGGCAAACAAAGACTAAGTGCCTTGACCAGAGTCATGGAGCTAGTGTTTGAGAAAGGATTTGAACTGAGGTCTTTTTGTTTCCAGGCCCAGTGCTCTATCCACTGCACCACCTAGCTGCCCCTGTATGTTTTTAACAATCTATAGAGGGAAAATGTATGTACAAACACTTTTAAATTTAATTTGCATTAACATTTTCTCCATTACTCTAAGTCTAGAAATCAATAGAACTCTGACTTGTAGTATTTGCCAATTTCCAAGATGTAAATGCTCACACTGAAAATTTAACAATTGGCTCTTGCAAGCCAGTTCAAGCTCACCTCAGCATACTCTTGCTTTCAATCATCCCAAGAGGCAGTCACAAAAAACCCAAGTTCTCTCTTTTGTTGATGAACACAGAAACTTTTGCATAAGTACTGCTTTGGCGATATTCCAGCATTTTGCATTCCAAAAGTTTTGGTGAGTTGTCTCATTGTTATTGTTGCTGTTATTATTATTATTTACAGATTTATCTGTAAGAGGCAGGGAAGGGTGTTTCTATAATTTGTTCACCCTTGGGAAGGCCCAACCCATATCACCGTGGCTTCAGTCTGGCCTCCTATCATGTGCATACCTTCCTGGAGGGTCTGTGGCATTCAGGTTTTGCCCTGGGCTTCAGACCCTGGACCGGCCCCACCTGAACTCTTGTGAAATTTAAGCTGATCTCCTGGGGCCATCACAGGCATGTGGCGTGGCACTGGCCTGATTTCCTCATGCTTCACAGCACGGGGCCTCACTCAGTTCCCTGTGCACTTACCTAGCAAAGGTCCAGGACTGAATTCAGTCCGAGGTCCCTGTGACAGTGTGACCCAGATCTTGCTGGCTTTAGTCTGGTCGCCTGGGGTTTCCCAGACCGCTTTGGTTATGACACCATTGCCCATTTCCTTGTGGGAATATGAAAGAAGGCTGGTTGTTTCAACTCACTCATTTTACAGAGTAAATTGAAGGAGACAGATTAAGACTAGTTCAAGGTATGGCAGATAAGTGTCAGGGATTTGAACTCAGGCCCCTAAAACCAGTGCTCTTTCCACTGCGCCATGATGTTTTGTGTGTGTGTGTGATTACAGTTAAGATGATTGAAAGCATTCTACATGTTCCTAAATTTTATCCAGTCTGATCTCATCCTAATTAAATCCTCAACCTAGTTCATTATCTATCTGCAACACCTGTCTAAGATATGTATCTTGATAAGCTAACTCAACAGGGCTCCCATAGTTTGGGCAATGTGTTTTTCAATCACTTTGGTTTTCTAGTTTAAATGGTTAGACAAATTTCCATACTTCCATAGAGGTTTTTTTCCAAGGATACAAAACATATTATTTTATATTTATTCTATATGTTTAATATATATTATTACATATATATTATGTTTATTATATATAAAACAGATTATTAAAATAAATACAGCAAAATCTCAAGGAAATACATAAGGCATCAGAATGATGACCAAGATGGAATCATGTTATGTGAGTACCAGTTAGAAGAACTGAGAGTGTTTAACCTGCAGATGATTAAAGGGAAGACATGTTCATTGGTCCTGGGGCAGCTAGGTGGCGCAGAAGTTAGATCAATAGAAAACTCATTTTCTTTAGTTCAAATCTGGCCTCAGATACTTACTAGCTGTGAGACCCTGGGCAAGTCACTTAACCCTGTTTGCCTCAGTTTCCCACCTATAAAATGAGCTGGAAAAGGAAACGGCAAACCACTCCAGTGCCTTTTCCAAGAAAACCCCAAATGGGGTCAAGAAGAGTTGGACATGACTGGAAAAATGACTGAAAAACAAATGTTCACTGTCTCCAAATAGACCATTAGAGGAGACTTTAGAGATCAATATTGGATCAAGGATAAGATGACCATCTGACTGGAAAGACTTGCATGAACTGATGCTGAGTGAAATAAGCAGAACCAAGAAAAGATTGTACACAGTAACAGCAACATTGTATGATGACCAACTTTGATAGACTCTTTTGATAAGACTGTTCTTCTCAGCAATGCAAAGATCTAAGACAACTCCAAAAGACTCGTAATGGAAAATGCTATCCTCATCCAGAGAAGGAACTATGGAGTCTGAATGCAGATCGAAACATACTATTTTTCCTTTTTTGTTGTTTTCTTCTTTCTCATGGTTTTCCTCTTTGGTTCTAATTCTTCTTTGCAACATGACTGACGTGGAAATGTTTAATATGAACGTACACATATGGCCTATATCACATTGCACGTCCTCTTGGGAAGGGAGGAGAGGAAGGAAGGGGAGAGAAATGATGAACAGGATGCTCTCAGAAAAACCTGGAAAGGTTTTGCATGGGCTGATGCAAAGTGAAATGTACTGTGTACAAAGTAACAGCAATATTTTAAGATGATCAGCTGTGAATGACTTAGCTATTCTCAGCAACACAACGATCCGAGACAACTCTCAAGGATTTATGATGAAAAATGCTATCCAGCCCCAGAGAAAGAACTGACAGCATCTGAATACAGTAAAGTATATTAATATATTAATTTTTTTACTTTATTATATATTATATAATAAAGCATATTCATACTTTAAATCCCAATTACTTTTAATTTAAAGTATTAAATTAAAACAACTCTGAGGTACCACCTCACACCTATCAGACTGGCTAATTTGACAAAATGGGAAAAGGATAAATGTTGGAGATATAGGAAAATTGGAAAACTAATGCACCGTTGGTAGAGTTGTGAACTGATTCAATCATTCTGGAGAGCAATTTGGAATTATGCCCAAAGGGCTATCAAACTGTGATTTGATCCAGCAGTGGTATCACTACTAGGTCTGTATCCCAAAGAGATAATAAAAAAGAGAAAAGGACCCACATGCGCAAAAAATTTTACAGCAGCTCTTTTTGTGGCAGCAAAGAATTAGAAATTGAGGGACTGCCCATCAATTGGGGAATGGCTAACAAGTTGTTCTATAAGAAAGTAATGGAATACTATTGTGCTGTAAGAAACGATGAGCAGGGAAACTTCAGAAAAACCTGCAAAAACTTACATGAACTGATGCAAAGTAAAATAAGCAGAACCAGAAGGACATTGTACACAGTAACAGCCACACTGTACGATGACCAACTTTGATAGACTTAGCTTTCCTCAGCAACGCAAGGGTCTGAGACAACTCCAAAAGACTCATGATGGAAAATGCTATCCACATTCAGAAAAAGAACTATGGAGTCTGAATGCAGATTGAAGCATACTATTGCTTTCTTTTGTTTCTTCTTTTTCATGGTTCCTCTCATTGGTTCTAATTCTTCTTTACAACACAACCAATGTGAAAATATTTAATATGAATGTATACGTAAAGCCTGTATCAGAATGCACGCCATCTTGGGGAGCAGAAGGAGGGGAAGAAAATTTAGAACTCAAAATCTTCTGGAAGTGAATGCTGAAAACAAAAAAGATATTACATAGTTCTTTTAATAGCCAAATTCTTTGAAAAAGCTATCAATACTCATTACCTCCACTTTTCATCTCCCATTCACTTCACAATCCCTTGTAATTAGCTTCCAACTTTATCACACAATTGAAAGTGCTCTTCCCATGGTTACCAAATCTCTTAATTGTCAAATTACATTCTTCCAGTTACCAAAGTTCACAACCAGGAGTCATCCTCAAGACTTTTCTCTCTTTCATACCTCATATATCATCGATCTAATCAGCTGCCAAGTCTTGTTGATTCTACCTTCATGTTTTATCTTGTATCCATCCTCTTCTCACTACTTACTTGGTTACCACCAAGGTTCAGACCTTCATCACCTCTTGCCTAAACTGCAAAGTAATAGCCTACCAGTTGATTTTCTTGCCTCTAATTTTTCTTCTCTAATCCATTCTTCACACAAAAGCCAAATTAATATTCCTAAAGCACAACTCTGATCATGTCATTTCCTTGCAAAAGAAGCTATAAAGGCTCTTTTTGGGTTCTAGAATAAAATGCAAACCCTGGGCTTTTATGGCCCTCCACAATCTGGCTACAATTTCTTTTTTGAGTTTATCCCAAATTATTCTACATTCCAGTTACATGGGCCTACTTTCTTTTCCCTATACACAACATTGCATCTTCCACCTCCATGCCTTTACATTGGCTGTCCCACAGGGCTGGAAGGCACTCCCTCCTTGCCTCTACCTGATAGAATCCTTGACTTCCTTCAAGGTTTCCTATAAGGCAGGTTCATCATAATTCCCACTTCCCCTCCCTCGGTTGCTAGTACCAACACCCAGAAATTACTTTGTAGATATTTTATGTTTAATTTTCTGGTAATTCTCTCCAAAATTTCTTTCGGGCAAGGCCTCTTTTGTTTCTGTATCCCTTGTACCTAGCACAGTCCCTGACATATAGTAGACAATTAATAAATGTTGCTGAATGGATGGTACTTGCAAGGGAAGGGAAGGTGTCTATGTTAGCATATGAAGGACCTCCTAGGTGAGGGTTCTAGAATATTTTACCCAATGTAATGTTTTTTTTTTTAAATTTTAAAAGTAAAAAACCAAAAGGAAAAGTCCACACCATTACAATTTGTGAATTGTGAAGTTTATTATATTTTCAAGCTATCTTTACACACTCTTCTTCTATTGGTGCCCCAAGTCACAGAGCTGAACACCAGGGAACCAAGACTTCCGTGCACTTCCCTCTTTGTTCCTTATTTGTTTTCCTCAAAGTCAATTGGCTTCTTCCTCTTCGATTTCTCAAACTCCTGGGTTCCCCAGGTATAGATGAAGTAAACGGCTATAAATGCTTTAAGAACCAAATCCAAAGAAAAGTATTAAGCACACACACAAGACTATCGGGCTAGCAAGACTACAGCAGACTGGGTCTTTTACTTTGTTAAAGTAGCACTGAGTGATTACCTCTTCTCTTATCATCTCCACCAACCATTCCTACACCTAGAAATATCATGGAAGGTTACAGTGCATCCATTTTATGGGGAACTAAAATGTTTATTGTTGTTCAATCCTGTCTGACTCTTCATGACTCCATTTGGGATTTTCTTGGCAAAGATACTGGAGTGGTTTGCCATTTCCTTTTCCAGCTCATTTTACAGATGAGGAAACTAAAGCAAACAGGGTTAAGTGACTTGCCCCAGTACCTACTTGCTAGTACCTATGCCTAGAGTCACACAGCTACTAAGTGTCTGAGGGCAGATTTGAACTCAGGAAGATAAGTCTTCCTGACTCCAAGCCCAGCACTTTGCCACCTAGCTGCCTGAGCTAAAACAGGCATATAGCTAACATGGAAATATAGTTTGCATGATTTCAATTGATATCAAATTGTTTGCCTTCTCTAAGACGAGGGAGAGGCAGCAGGGAGGTATCTGAACTCAAAATTACATGTATATAATTAATATATATATAATTTTTGTGAGGTAATTGGGGTTAAGTGACTTCCCCAGAGTCACACAGCTAGTGTTATGTGTATGAGGCCAGCCGGTGCTCTACCCACTGTGCCACCTACCTGCCCCTGAACTCAAAATTTTAAAAAATGAGTATCAAAAAAATTTTACATGTAATTGGGAAATAGCAAAATAAGTAAGATATATGTTAAAAAATAAAATAGCAACTATGCCCCACTGTCCTAAGCTAGGACAAAGAACACTCTTCCTAGATCTATTTTCCTACAAATTCACTTCAAATATCCATCACCTCCCCCCACCCTCCTATTTCAGAATAAGTAGTCTCAAGACCTGGGTTCTCACCCAGGATTTACTATTAATTAGCATGTGACTATGGGCAAATTATATCACCTCCAAGAGTCTTATCTTTATAATGGGGATAACTACCAACTTCACAGGGTAAGTAAAACGCTTGGTAAACCATACATCCCTATATAAATATAGGCCATTATTACTGTCAGCCCAGCTCGAAGGAGCCACTTAGGTTGATTTAAAGTTTCCTGCGCACTGAATACAAGCCTTTTCAGAATGTAATTTTATAGATTATAATGAAGTGGAGGAAAAAGGGGATTCTATGGCTCTAATAATCACGCCATCCACTGAACAGTGGTGAGCTGTGAGTCAAGGGCTGCTCCGTCTATTTCAGCCTCTGGACCCTGCCTCCTCTTTCGGGTCCTTCGGGGTACACTCTGGTCCCCAGTTTCCCGGGGGTCACTCTAAATTCTAGGTTTCCCGGTTTGCCCAAGACCCGAAGCTCTCGAAGGTGGGGAGACCGGCGCTGTGGGGGGCCTGGGCCCTGGAAGACCCCCCGACAGTCCCGCCCCAAAGGCCAGGCCTGGCCTGCACTTACGCGGGGCGACCCGCAGAATGGAGTCCTGCGTTCTGCGTAACATGTTCGGGATGCCCTTCGTGAAGTAGTTGGGGAAGGCTCTCTGTTCGAACGGGGACAGGCTGTAGGAGATGATGTGCCTCACCCGGATCAGCTTCCCGAACTCGCGGCCCATGTTCGCGGCGCCTTCGGCCCCTGGAGGAGCAGAACACAGTTACCGGTGCGGGCCGAGGCGGCGGAGATCCCGGGGCCCGCCCGGAGCCCCGGCTCCTAGGGGCGCCCTTCAGGGCCCCTCGGGCCAGAAAGCCCCCCTCGGGAGCCAGCAGCCTCCCCGACCCCCGTCTGGTGACCCCCAGGCGTCTCACCGGCTTCAAGACACTTCGCCCTCCAAAGACTGCGGCTTGTGCCCCGGGGACCTTACATTTCCGGGGCAAGAAAGAGGGTTGGATAAGACAATTTCCGGGAGATACCATGTTGCTGTTCTCGCGGGGGGGGGTTAAGGAATGTATCTCCCCTCTGTGGGGAGAAGTGCATAGACCCAAAGGAGACCCTGTAGGCAGGAAGAGAGGGACCCGGCCTCGGCATGGAGCCAGCCGAGGGCAGCAGAGGCTGCTGCTGATGGCCTGGGCTGGCTGCCCACGTGGGAGCCGGGACCCCCTTCCCCTGGGGCTGCCCCCTTCTTCTCTGATAACTGGGAGATCCTCTTGCTGTGTCCCCACTTCTGGATCCTTCTCCAGGAAATAAGTAAACCTTTTCCGAATCATTCGTTCAGTCATTCATTCGTTAGCTGTAGCCATTCATGCACTCATTCATTCATTTACTCACTCCATTCAGTCATTCGTTCATTCCATTCATTCACTCAGGGCCACACAGCTAGTAAGTGTCCCAGACTGGATTTGAACTCAGGAAGATGAGGTCCTTCTGACTCCAGGCCTGCGCTCTATTCACTATGGCGCCACCTAGAGGACTTTAAAAAATTTATTTATTTTTAGTTTTCAACATTCACTTCCATAAGATTTTGAGTTCCAGGTTTCCTCCCCATCTCTCCCCTCCACCCACCCCAAGACAGTGTGCCATTTGATATAGAATCTACATATGCATTCATATTGAACCTATTTTCACATTAGTCATGTTGTAAAGAAGAATTAGAACCAATGGGAGAAACCACAAGAATAAACAAAAGAGAGAGAGAATGAGAGAGGGAGAGAGGGAGAGAGAGAGAGAATAATATGTTTTGATCTGCATTCAGACTCCGTAGTTCTTTCTCTGGATGTGGACAGCATTTTCCTTTATGAGTCTTTTGGAATTGTCTTGGATCCTTGCATTGCTAAGAACAGATGAGTCTATCAAAGTTAGTTATCGCACAATGTAGCTGTTACTGCCTACAGTGTTCTTCTGGCTCTGCTCACTTCACTCAGCACCTGTTTTTCTGAAGTCTGCCTGCTCATCATTTCTTATAGCACAACAGTATTCCATTACATTCATATACCACACTTGTTCAGCCATTCCCCAATCGATGGGCATCTCCTCAATTTCCAGTTCTTTGCCACCACAGAAAGAGCTGCTATAAATATTTTTGCACATGTGAGTCCTTTTCCCATTTGTATGATCTCTTTGGGATACAGATCCGTAAGTGCTATTGCTGGGTCAAATGGTATGCACATTTTTATAGCCCTTTGGGCATAGTTCCAAATTGTTCTCCAGAATGGTTGGTTAAGTTCACAATGCCACCAACAATGCATTAATGTTCCAATTTTCCCACATCTTCTCCAGCATTTATTATTTCCCTGTTTTGTCATGTTAGCCAATCTGATAGGTATGATGTGGTACCTCAGAGTTGTTTTGATTTGCATTTTTCTAATCAATAATGAGTTAGAGCATTTTTTCATATGACTATAGATAGCTTTAATTTCTTCCTCTGAAAACTGCCTGTTTACATCCTTTGACCATTTATCAATTGAGGAATGACTTGTATTCTTACAAATTTAACTCAGTTCTCTCTATATTTTAGAAATGAGGCCTTTATCAGAGACACTGGTTGTACAAATTCTTTCCCAGTTTTCTGCTTCCCTCCTAATCTTGGTTGCATTGGCTTTGTTTGTGCAAAAACTTTTCAATTTAATGTAATCAAAATTATCCATTTTGCATTTCATAATGTTCTCTATTTCTTGTTTGGTCATAAATTCTTCTGTTCTCCGTAAATCTGACAGGTAAACTATTCCTTGCTCTCCCAGTATCAGCCTTTATGTCAAAATTATGTGCCCATTTTGATTTTATTTTGGCATACAGTGTAAGATGTTGGTCTATGCCTAATTTTTGCCATACTATTTTCAAGTATTCCCAACAGTTTTGGTCAAATAGTGAGTTCTTACCCCAGAAGCTGGAGTCTTTGGGTTTATCAAATAGTAGATTACTACAGTTATTGACTACTGTGTCTTGTGTACCTAACCTATTCCACTGATCCACCACTCTATTTCTCAGCCAGTACCAAGCAGTTTTGATGATTGCTGCTTTATAATACAATTTAAGATCTGGTATGGCTAGGCTACCTTCCCTAGCATTTGAACTTACTTTCTATTGTTGAGGGAGACCATACATACAGGAATAAATAAATACAAAAGAGGTACAAAGCAAAGGAAAAGGGGAAAGGGAAGGGGGAGCAGAAGTAGCATAATGTAGTGGGAAGAGTTCTGGCCTTGGATTTTTCTGTGTTTGATTCCCATCTTAGGCACTAGCTGTGTGACCCTGGTCAAGTCCCTTTACCTCCTTTGTTCTCAGTTTTTTTATGTCTAAGATCAAAAAGTTGGCCTGGATGAGCTATAAGGCTCCTCTAGTTTTGGCTGAGAAGTATCTGGAGTCTGGCGGGAAAAGAGGAGGAAGAGTGTTCTAATAAATTGACAAGTCTTTTGGATTCTATACTCTCAATATCCCTATGACTCCTTTCTACTCCAAGAGCTATAGAGAAGGAGAGAGAGAATTTTTAAGCATTTACTATGTTCTAAGTGGGCAGCTAGGTGATGCAGTGGATAGACAGCTGGGCCTGGAGTCAGGAAGACCTGAGCTCAAATCCAACATCAGACACTCACCTTGGGTAAATCACTTAACCTCTCTTTGCCTCAGTTTTCTCACCAGTAAAATGAGCTGGAGAAGGAAATGGCAAATCACTCCAGTATCTTTGCCAAGAAAACCCCAAATGAAGTCACTAAAAATGACTGAACAACTATGTTCTACCAGTGTTGGGGAATCTACGGCCTTGAGGCCACATGTGACCCTCTAGGTCCTCAAGTGTGGCCCTTTGACTGAATCCAATTGTTCTGTGAAGTTAGGATTCAGTCAAAGGGCCACACTTGAGGACCTAGCAATGGCCTGTCTAAGCAATGGCCTAAGCAGGGAGGGCAGGGAGGGTCATACAAATACAAACAAGCAATACAGCTTTCATTAAAGGGTACTAGGAAGGGGAGGGTGGGCAACTCATAGCGGGAGAGAAGGGTGAGGTTACTGCTTTGAAGTGTTGTGGGGTCCTGGGACCTGTCAAGATAAAATAAAAGCTCACCTGTCAGAGTTGGAGGAACCCAGTGGTGGGGTGCAGTGGAAGAGGTTGCAGAAGATGGTTGGAGAGGAGATGACTGAGAAGTATCTAGGCCCTCTCTGCCAACCCCCCTCAGCAATATCAGACAAACTTCACCTACAATCAGTGCCTGGAGACCCAAAGGGTAGAGTCCAAATCCACAGTAGGATGGAGATGGTTGAAGAGTAGGGCCATGGTGAGGAGAGTGCCAGGAAGTGGTATAGAGGGCTGGACTCTGGCAAGATTCTATTAACTACTGATCGATATGCCTAGTTTCCATGTGTCAACTGGACCAGAACCGGCCTCTAAACTGTGATTGGTCGGAGCAGAAACAGAGCAGGCTAGGGACAGGAGAGTCAGGACAAAAACAGAAGTTTGTTAATTTCAGAGTGAAGAAAATGACACCTGCAGGCAGAAACTCCCCCCCTCCTAAGAAGGGGGGCTTAAGGCTGCTAAGGCTGGGGCCACTTACATACATGAAAGGGGTTGCCCACAACACAATTATTCTTAGATCTTGAGATAGTTCTTATGGTTAGCATTTCTTGGGACAATACAGGCATTTTTGAGTCCTGTAGGAACAGTCATTGTCTCAGGTCTTGGAGGGCATGGTCATCCTATGGGGCACAGAACCAGAGTATCTATCAGTGACAAGGAACAGCTATTGTGAACACACGATGGATGGCCCTGGGAAATAAGGGGAGCTAAATTCCTTAGTGAGCACCTGGTGCTGGTCCAAGCTGTACACTTTGCCAGAGGCTGAGATCATTCTAGGGCACAAAGGATTATTTTATGCCAGACTGAGGGCACAGCTTGCTTGCTGGGCCTTAGTTCTGGAAAACAGGGTATCTCTAAAATATTTTTATACACGTAATGCTGTTTTATCGTGAGAATATTCCACACACATCAAGACTAGCTTTTCCAAGCAATATTCCACAGACCATAATTTTACAATCCCATTGACTGCAAGAACCGTAAGTATTGCTGTCCTTATTCCCTATGAATAAGTTGGACTGCGGGGCTGAGAGAGACAGCTGGTGACTACCCCCAGGTCCAAGGAACTCTGTGAATCTAGATTCCCAAAACCGCTTCTGCGTTTTCACCTTTAACTGGTCACCAAGGCAGGGTATGGTGACTCTCAGGGCCTTGGGACATCCACCAAGACTGAAGAGCCCAACAACCTTTTTTTTTTTTAACTTTCATATTTTTTATCATGTTCTTAAACACCAAAAATTACATTTCCATATAAATATCAGAAGACAAAGAGTATTGTATGTGAAACCATGAATCTCCATTTCATACCACTTGCTTTTTTTTTTTAAGTATAATAAGTTACACACATTACTTTCAAACCTATACTGCTTGTCTGTTTCCTTCTGAACTTCCTTCTGTTATCTTCTGTGTATTTTAATTTTTCAAGAAATACGTATTTTTAATTAATCTGTCCTCACATCTTCTCTGCCCCAATTGAGCAAATATATTTTAAAATGCCTCAATATGTATCTATATGATCCAGCAAAACAAATCCCCACATAAGCCATTCTCAAAAATAGACTGACTTGGGGCAGCTAGGTGACGCTGTGGATGGAGTACCAGCCCTGGAGTCAGGAGGACCTGAGTTCAAACCCGGCCTCAGACACTTGACACTCACTAGCCGTGTGACCCTGGGCAAGTCACTTAACCCCATTGCCTAGCCCCGCCCCCCCTCCAAAAATGTCTCTCTGCATTTTAAGTTCATCACTTCTCTGTGAGGGAGTGAGTGGTATGTTTCATTTTCATTCTTTCAGACTCATGGTTTATGATTTGTTGATCAGAGTTTTAAAGTCTTTCAAAGTTGTTTTTCTCTATAATGCTATCATTGTATAAATTGTTTTCCTTGTCTTA